GTCAGATTTGTCCTGGACAAATCTGAAATTGTCCTCTAGTGCGACTTGGCCCTTTTTTGAGGGGAAAAGTTATACATCTGCAGCTGTCAACTCCCACTTAAAAAGGGCAAAGATTGGAAAAAGCCAATGCCGTAAAGTTAGAGGAAAGAACACAAGAGTCACCTACCTATACCAAACAGCGTTCGATCAGGAAAGTTTGGACATCATAGTGAAAGGTGAGAAGGAAATACTGTAGAGAAAAGGGTATTGACTTTAAAACATACTATTGTCATAGAGATAAAATTCATTCTGCTTACCTCTTCGCCAGTTGAACAGTGCCGGGGAGTACTCCTGGGAATTATTGGCAGAGGGGAGGGAAGGGGGGTGCCTCCTGGTTATCAAAATCCCTGACTCTATTCAGGACCAAAACTGTCATGTTTTTACACCTGTTTTCATACATGGCGGCTTAGAAATTATGTCATCATTACTTGGATTGGAACAGGAACAAAACCTAAATCTTAATTGGTACTCTTCTCTTTCTTTCTAACTCGTTTATTCGTTAAAGCCATACCCGATTCCATACCAAGATGGACAAAGTCTATTGCCGTTTTCGGACCAAACCGGTGCAAAAACCCTACCCTTTGGGCGGCACATATAAGGGGGTACCAGCCAGGGGCGATGGCTCGAGATAACAGGGAGCGAAGTGCAATTCCCACAAAAGAAGTCTCCGGTAAATCTTTTTTTTTGTCTTCTATTTCAGCTTTAAAGAAACCAGGAGAAGGTTAGACAATGACAGCTATTTTCAAACATGATTATGACATTACGTTATGTAGAAGTGTTTTGATTTATATATTAAGAATTGTTATTTTTTGATATAAAATAGTTAAGTTTATGCCAAAAAAAAATTGATCCGCAATTGATAATCTAGACGTATATTCCGCGAGAGGAACTAAATTTAAAGACCTCAAGTGACCACTAAAAAATTGCAGTCGTGGGCATTAGCTGATATTTGAAAAGGATGATATTAAAGTTGTAGTCGTTTCAAAAATTACAATTTTAAAATTTGGGGAAAGAGCCATAATGGGCTGTATATATGGCTCTTGAAAGCACCTAATATTTAATTAAGGTACCGTTTTTGATAAAATTCAGAATATCCGCTCCCTAGTATACATATTGGGAAAAAGTGCAATTGGCTGGTCACCTGACAGTAAACGAACCAACTAGAGACATGTTTCTGCGCCGTAAATATCTTAATAACAGATTTCTAGGAATTAATTGAACTTTATGATTAAAAATTAGGCGTTTCAGATAGCGTGAGATGTTCGGTTTTGGTAACCGTTGTATTTCTTTTTGTATTTGAACCCTATTGCACAAGTTTCAAGTTTTTTTAAAGGCTTTTCATGCTTCAGTTTCGTTCCTTTGTATATCTATATTGATCAAGGATGTTTATGTGACGTTTTTCCCTAGTAGCCTGCTTCATACGGACAGTAGTACTAAATTTTGTTATTATCAATTTCGGTGTGATTAACAGACTAAAGTGTGTAATCGCACTGTAACTTTTTCTGAAGTTAAAAAAATAACTTTTTTGTCACAGGGTCAGGAGAAGTAGTAGAAGTATTCAGCAATGACGTCGGAGAAGGCGCCAGTACAGATGAGAAGAAAGGAGGCAGTGGTGGCGAAGAGAGCGGAGAAAGTAGCGACGAGAACGACGCAGAAAGTAGTGAAAAGAGCGAAGGAGAATTAACTAGCGAAGAGAGCGAAAGTGCTAATAACAAAGAGATCAAAGGAGAAACTGATGCAGATGTACCTGAAGAAGGCAGCGACGAGAACAGTGCAAAAGGAAATGGCGAAGAAAGACACGAATGCAGGGACAAGGAGAATGGAAGAGGCATTGATGATGGGGTTGGAGAGGAACCAGGGGCCACACGACGGCTGGAACCTAGGAAGAGAGGCAAGTTAATATATTAATGCTCAGCTATTGTACTATAAATAAACTGAACAGAGGTCCATTCCTATGACATTGGATCTCCCCATAAAGCAACCTTGACTTAATACTGCTCTAATAATACTTTTCAAACATCGGATTAATTTAAATTGTGCAACCTTCCATGAAAACAATTTGTCTTCCTTCTTTCTTGCAGGGAAAACAGAAGTAGAGAAGCTGAGTGACGACCTAAGCCATTTTTCTTCCCAATTACCCAAAAAAAGAAAAGGAAGAGACTAACTCACATAAGTAACAAATGAACCATTCACACCGAATAGACATGTTTAATAAGTAAAATCCCTAGGTTAAAAAGGAACACAGGGTTCTACACGGATTTAATTGAATTGAATTCAAGACGTTGCGTAATCGTCGCAAAATTTTGAAAATGATAAAAGTGCACTAAACAGTCACAAACCGTTTTAAACATGTTTAAGGACTCTTCAAGCTTTGGTGTGAATGGAGCCTAATATTTAGTCTTTGAGCGGATAGTTGCCTAGCTAACCGTGCAGAGAACTCGTTGAAAATCGTTCATGCGCCTAGAACT